GGCCGAGCCGCCGCCGCCCGCGCCCGCGCACTTCGCAGAGACTTTCCCGAGTCTGCCGGGTAAGTGGCGGGCGCGGGGGGCGCTCGGCGGAGCCGCCCGCCGCGGGTCGCGACTCCAACCCAGTTCCCAGCGCGGCGTCGCCGAGCCCACAGCCCGTGCTCCTGGGTCTGCAGAGCGCCGACCCCTCGCCAGAGACTTCCCGCCTCCTCCAAGCCCTAGCCTCCCCAGCGCCTTCGCCCTGCAGCCTCGCCCACCGCCTCAGAATCCCTGCGCTGTTCTCGGTACAGGGTGGGGTCGCGGTGCACCCAGGGCCCCGGGGAGAGGCGCGCGGGGATAGCTGCCGCGCCTGCAAAGAGGGTGCGTCTGGCCCCTGAGAAGACTGCTCTGACCTTCCGCGCGCAGGTAGCCGCGCGCAGGCACGGGGCAGGTCGAAAGGTGCCTGTCGCTTCACCTTGGCCGCAGACATTACTTCCGAATGGGCAGCTTGGGAGCTAAGCCGAGAAGACGCAGGTAGCGGCGCTCCCAGCTCGCACCGCAGGGGACCAGGGCTGCGGGGAGGCCCAGAGGCATTATGCCGGGCTGAGTTGGGTGTGGCCCTAAAAACCCCAGCTGAGAATCTGGTGTCCATTCAACTAAGAGGTCACTCAGGACCCCCGGGAAGGACGGGCAGGGCTAATTGAGGGGCCGCTGGCTGGAATCAGTGCACTTAGAGCCCGGCTGTCCTCCCTGTTGCTGCTTGACCGTTATCCGGGCAAATGCAGGTTTCTGAGATCCGCAACTTAGACAATTTAGGGAAGACAGGGCCACACCTAAGCGTCCACTTCCTCAGCATCAGGATGAATGTCCCCTGCTTGGCCACTCACTGTGCCCTGCTTAGCAGGGGGAAATGACCCCAGAAGGCCTGGGGACAAGGGGACCCCAGAGTCCTTGGCCAAGAAAGGCCGCTCCCAGTGACAGGTTCCTGGTCCTCCTTGAAATTGTGCCAAGGGCTGCTCACCCTTGCAGACCCCAAGGACGGCATGGAGCAGGTGCCCCCTTGGTTGTGCTGGCGCTGGGGATCCAGCTGCTGCTTTCCTTTTGGTTTGTACCTGGCTGGGCTGGAAGAATCCCAGGGCTGAAGTCAGAGCCCTCGCCTACTCTAGGGAAACAGCAGCACCCAGAGGTGGGAGAAATGTCCGCATGGTGAGGGGGCAGGCGTGGGGCAGAGGAGCCAGGATTAGTGGAGTTTTCAGAATAGGATGGAATGAAGGAAGGCAGAAAACACCACCAAAGAGACATCGAGGAGGCCTAGGACCTGCAGGCAGTGAGCAGGCACATCTAGGAAGGAGGAGGTGGGGGAGAGGCAGAGGAGTCCCCAGGTGGAGAGAACTGGGGGGTCCTCAGACCACAGGAAAACAGCAGCTTGTCTACGCTGTCCAGTCTCCCCGTTCTTATTTGGACCCGTGTGTATATTGAATATTGGCTATGAAAGCAGGTATTGATGGAGAGGAGTAGGCGGAGGAAGAGAACAGAGGAGAAATGTGCAGGTGAGAACGAGGGAGGGGACAGGGAAGGAGCTCAGCGCCTCTGGGTGGGAAGCAGGACGCTGGAGAAGTGAGCACTTTCCCGGGACCGGAAGTTCTGGCCTGGGAGGCCTGGGAGAGAGCTAAATAAAAACACCAGGGGGTGGGAGGAATTTCATAGGAAGAATGGTCTTCTGTAAGGGGTTTTCGGTACCAGGAGTGATGGGGAGCTGGAGGTATATGGAATGATGGAGCGAAGGTCTTCCTTGTCCAAGGAGACTGTTGGAAGCCAAAACTGAGCATCGAGTTGTTCTTGAAATCAGGCAAGGGCTCCATCGCTAGGCCTCCATCGCTAGGCATGCCGGGAGGGAAGGCGTTGAGAGTTGTGGGATGAAGGTCAGCCGGGGGAGATGCAGAACAGGTCGCGGTGGGCAGAGCGGTCAAGAGGGCAGGCCCCAGCAGGGACACCGGAGGGCTTGGGGTTGGGGTCGCCTGCGTCTCCCGCAGCAATCCCAGCCCTCTCCACAGCCGCTCACACCCACCTTCCCAAGTGTGGGATTTCCCTGAGATGGCCACAAAAAGAAAAGGTGGTTCTGAAGTGTCAGGCATCCAGTCCATTTGGGGAGTGGCAGCGCCCGCCCGAGCCGCAGTGGTGGCCACGTCAGATCATTTGGGGGCGTGAGGGGTGAGGCAGGGGGCTCCGCTGCGGGCCTCTGGGGTGGAGACCTTCACAGCCGAAGGTTCTGGGTAAGAGTGCAGAGGTTAAGGTGACAAAGGTGTTGCTCTCCTGCTGGGAGTGGGTGACGTGGGGCTGAAGGAATTAATTTACAGTCGTTTAATGGTTCCCAGTTACCAGCCCCTTAAATGCACTTCTAGTGAAGATGGGTTCATTTGAGGGGTGAGGAGTGGAGTTCTTTTTTTGGAAGGGGTGGATTGCAGGGGCTGGTTTTCTTTTAATTGGCCGAGAGTAAAGACTGACACCACTGGCTTGCTACGGTTGACGGAGAATAAGCAGAACTTCAGTATGACACGATTCTAGGGCTAGACGCTGTGTCCACAGATGGTAAGAATCGCTGTGTGTGGGAAGAGGGGGTCGGAGGGGCGTTGGGAGTGGTTGCCGAAAAAGAGTCCTCGGTTCGGAGCACGGTGAGCTGTGGGCTAACTGGGGCAGGTCTTCCAGTAGGAGTGGCAAAGAAAAGAGAATTTTGAGCTGGTTGGGAAGATTAAGGCCTGAGTCAAAAGGCTAGCGTGCTTGCCTCGCATGTGTGAGGCCCTGGGTTCCATCCCGAGCCCGGCAAAACAGAAAGCATGAATTAATGGCAGAGCCTAAAACAGTGCTGGCTGGTAGAACTGTACTGTTTTAAAAAATAGTGTTCCTTGTGTGTTGTTTTAAAAGTTTTTACTTAGCCACGTTGAAAAGGGAAAAGAAACAGGTTAAGTGGATTTTTAAGAATACACATTCTTGTAATCTAATAAATTCAACGTATTTTCATTGTAGCACTAATATATATGAATATTTTAATGAGATATTTGTTTGGTTGGGTTTTTTGACACTGGGTCTCACTATGTAGTTCAGGCTGGTCTTGAAATCACCATGTAGCTCAGGCTGACCTCGAACTCTCGGCAATCCTCCTGCCTCAGCCTCCCGAGTACTGGGATTACAGGTGTGCACCGCCACCTCTGGCTTTAATGTATCTTCCCTGTACTCTTTTGTACTGAGTTTTGCAGATGCAGTGTGTGTTTTACACCCCCAGCCCACCTCAGGTCAGCCTAGTCGTGTTTCAGGGCCAGGAGCTCCATGTGGCTGGTGGTGACTATTCACCATAACATGTCTAGAGAGCTGTGAGCCAGAATCAGGTGAACGTAATGGGGCAGGGGCTTCAAACTGGGGTGCAGAGGGGCCCCTTGAGTGATCATCAGGAATAATGGAGAGAAGAGAGTAGTAAGCTCCCCACCTCAGGGAAGCAGGGAATCCCTCCTCCAGTGGGCCGAGCGGAGATGACCCGGGGCGTCTGCGGGTTCCTGTGAGTCCCGGCTGAGCGTCATCGAAGCTGACTTGCAGTGTGCAAGATCTGTGCAGATCCATGCATGTCACAGAGGTGAGGCGTGAAGAGGATGCCGAGCGCCTGGGAAAACGCAGAAGGAAAGTTTAAATCAGGGGTGTGTGGCGCGGCAGCTCACTTGTGGAGGAAAAGGTTAGGCTGCCCAAGCGCAAAAGCAGAAGAACTGGGGGACGATGTTAGAAGGACGATAACATCAGGGAGAGACTAATGCAAGGCATGAGGATGGATGGTGTTATTCTTTTTTTTTTTTTTTTTTTTTT